AGTAAAGCGAGATATTATGAATTCCTATGGTGAAAGAAAAGCTTTTGTTAAAAAAATTCTTCAAAATACAAATAGTAAAATCTCTTTGACTTGTGATATTTGGACATCACTTCAGCAACTCGGGTATTTGGCAATTACTGCACATTTTATTGATAAAGACTGGAATCTTGTTTTTATTTTACTGTCATTTAAATTGATCTCCTATCCCCATTCTGGAGTTAACATTGCCAATTGTATTAAAATTGAAACAGATGAGCATTTGATTACTAATAAGGTATATAATTGATAATACGTAGTTACTTAGTGTCGGGATCAGCAAATTATATATTTTTCCATAAAAATTTAAACACCGTATACATATTATATAAATAAATTAAACTAGAGAAAATCTTAATATCATTATAAAATAATACATGGGTATTTTTTTATAACAATATAATAATAGAATATTAAAAATTTAATACTATATTGATTTCTTTCTACTTACAGCTACAAGCTATTATCCTTGATAATGCAAGTTCAAATGATGTCGCAATCTTATTTCCCAAGATTCACTTACTAATATTAGTGAAGAGCTTTTTCATAACTGCTGTTTCGCACATATTTTAAACCTTATCGTAAAGGATGGTTTAAAAAAAATTTCAGGAGCAATCAACAAGGTAATCATATAAGTGCTATCAAGGGAAAACCCGCAGGTTTTCTTTTTGTGACACTTATACATGTGTGTCTAAATTATTTTTGAAAAATCGTATTTTTGGCAAATATTTCGGCTTTGCTAAATTTTTTATATAAAACCCTTCAAAATAACTATATTATGATATATTTTGATGAAAAGTGTTTAAAAAATTTCGGCTAGAATTTTGGCAAATATAAAATTTAATTTCGGCACTATATAAGAACAATTTCTGCTGCCTAAATGCCGTAATTACTTTTTTATTAAAATAGGCAATTTAGGCACACATGTATAGTGGCACTCATATTATTTGTCTTTGATAATTTTTTAACAATTCATTTAATTTTTTAGATTTGTAACTGTGTTAAAGCAATACATTCAACTCCAAGATGACGTTAAATATATTTGGATATGAATTTGAAAATCCTATAATTCCACTGTTAGATTGCGATACCCGTTGGAATTTCACCTATACGATGTTAAAATCAACCATAAAAATGAAAAATATGATTATTCGAATGGGTGATTGTGATCGAACCTTTCCTAACATATCTACAGAAGATGAATAGACAAGGGCGGATAATATTTGTACTATTTTAAAACCATTCTATGATTGTATGTTTATTTATTATTATACTAAGTAATTTTGTAGATTTTTTGTATTTATTTATTATTATTTTTACAGATACTCTAAAAGCATCAGCAAACACCTATCCAACCCTTAACAATACCTTCACTTCTATTTTAAATATTCGTACTCATTTTCGTAGTATGAAATTTCATACTGATAGTTTTATTCGTGATATTTCTAAGCCTATGATAGAAAAGTTTAATAAATATTAGGAAGATACTAACTTTTTATGTATTATTGCATACATTCTTGACCCTCGTTATAAGTTACAATTCATTGCATATTTCTATCATGAAAAGGAAAAATTAGAGTCAGATGATCTTGATAAAAAAATACAAAATATTAGAAAAAAGTATATATTAGTTAATATAATTATTTACAATTTAATACTACTAATATCATTTATAATTATAAAAATTAGATTTGAAGATATATATCTTCAAACTTACTATGCTCCACCAGCTATTGAATGTTTAACTAGTTACGAAGTTGCCAGTACCGAGGATAATATATTAATATTTGAGGATCATATTAATGATTTTTTTGATTATACAAAAAGAAATACCCGAGCTAGTGAAAATAATATGCTTTATGAAGTTAATCAATACTTAGATGAACAAATTGCAGATAGAACTATAAATGTTCTTGAATGGTAGAAACTTAAAAAAGATTACTTCCCAACTTTGTTAGCCATGGCTCAAGACTTTCTTGCAATACCATCTACCAGTGTAGCATCCGAACAAATGTTTAGCTGTGCAGGGC